TGTAGAATTCTCGGGAGCAAGAATTTAGGAGCAAGTAGGCGGTTTTGAGTAGTGGAGATTCCATGAATTATGAGAGAGCAAACCTCTGTTTATATAGTGAACCCAAGGGGTTGGAATCCTAGTAGGACACTGAGTCATACTTTGGGAGATAATCCCTATCAGGAAAGAAATAAGATTTCTTGCCTTTATCAGATTAGGTTTAATATTTTTAGTAAGATTCAGGATCTTAGCAAAAGAGGAAATAGAATGAGATTCTGATTTCTTATTTATGGGTACAGTTGTAGGCTAATAGGCCGGAACCCAGTTTAGCTTAACTTGTAAGATAACCCAACTCATAGAGTAAACAGTTCACATGATGACTTTAAGCGTAGGCCCAATTGGAATTGGACTAAGACCTTGGACTGTGACATGTTTATTTCGTTATTGAGTCTTGTCAGACTTAAGATGATTTTTTGTCCCTGTAATGGATGGGATGGTTGTAGGAGAAAAAATATGAGTGTCCATAAGCACTAAGACTTAGTAATTTATGTCGTATACCAACACAAGTGTGGTGTGTTGCATCAAAGAATGAGAAGTTGTGTAAAATTGGCAATTAAAGGCATTGAAGGGCTTTTCACACAAATCTCAAAGGAAAGTAGTAAGTTGACTGAAGACAGCACATAAAATATATAGTGAACTTCAAATATTCAAGAGCAAAGTGTAGCTGATAAATCTAGTCAAATATCGATTCAAGATCTACATGTGACACAAACAAAAAGAAGACTAAAAGATGATAAAAGAAAAGTTAGTAGCACTGGCATTTATAATGTAATGTATTTATTTAGTTGAACAAATAGTAAGTTTTTAAGCTAGCCCAATTCCCAAATGGTTTTTCTATAACAATATAAGATATGTGATACCCTTCGTTTATCTCAACTCAATAATTTGAATATTGAAATTAATTATTATTAATGTAAATCAATTGTGTATATATTGCTAGAGAGTGGTGTTAGATATCTGAATAATATTTCAATTTTTTCACTTCATATGAAATACTTGGAGTACCACCTAGTAATTTGTGATATAACATATTATTATTTCTAAGGGTATAGTCAGTATTGTTTTTTTTTTTTTTTTTTTTAAATCTGGTTTTATATAGTTTTTAATTTCTCAAAAAAACATTTATTCATCAATATTATTCTAAAATCGAAATTGAAAAGAAAATAAAGTTAATTACTAATTTGTATCGAATTTAATATAAGACAAATGTCAATATAAACACATAAATACAAATATATATAAAATTTGAACAGATAATATTATTTAACATTGAAAGAACTAGAAATATCATGTGTATTATTATGTTAGAGAATCAAAGTTAGTTTAATTGCTTGTAAAGAAAAAAAAATATGTAATAATTACGAACGATTTTTAATAAAGATATCCTAGAAACTTTGATGAAAAAAATAATATTAAATACCTTAAATATTATTTTTATTTTATAAAATAAAAAATTATATTTTAATTTATATATTTTTTTTTAGAAAATGCCCTCGATTAATACCTCTCACAAATACGCTGATGATTAATTCATCCTTGGTTCAATGATTTGAAAATTGAAATCAATGTCAATAGGTAATTATTGTTAAATGTAAATATAATTTTTTTTTCATAATTAAAGCATAGTATTGTACAACTTTAGAAACATCTTAAATTTTTTATCTCAAGTGATAACATTTGCTTATACGACAACAAATGTTAAGTAAATAACAAACTAAATTTAATATACTATTAGATGAATTTGGAATATTGCACTGAAATACGTAAGATTACTCATCATCAAATTTACTAACCTACTAGATGATAAGGGTTAAAAGTTAGGATTAAATATTTGTTGTTGACCTCATTGATTGCTTTGGCCTTACCCAAAGTGATGTTGAATTAATATTAAATAACTGATCAAATATCCATCTTTAAACTAAGTAATTTAATTTGGACACGTAACAACTTCAATAATACGAAAACAAAAGATTATTTTAAGAGTAAACGACATGTTCCCACCCAAAGATTAGCGAAATGGTAAGCTTTGACCCTAGTTTTATTTATTCTAAATTTTCACCCTTAAAGTAACATTGTTAGGTTATGACACATATGCACATAGGTGTTATTATCATATTACCCTTGACAACCTGACAAACATGACCCTCGGATTTTCTAAGTATTTACATATTTGAAAACCTAACAAACACACCCCTGCAATTGCTGTTGCGACTGCTATGGCAACAATGGTGACGACGGCGACAACAACTTATTTTTCTCTCTTTTATTTTTTTACTTCTTTTCTCCGCCCATCTCTCCCACCCACCAACACTCGTCAAAGCTTTCTCACTCTCTTTCTGCTCGCAAAGCACGACTCCTCCCCCAAGGCCAACAACTCCACCTAACCCACCTTCCATCCATCTAGTGAAACCATGGTTGTTAGTATCCTATGATACCCGATACGTATCATACGATACGATTCGATACAGATCGCCAACGATACGTATCAGAGGGTGTATCCTAAACCATTCGATATGTTGATATGTATCCTACGATACGATACGTATCCATTCGTATCCTTAAAAATATCGATATAAATCGATACGACTTTATTAATTTGGGTCAAATGTCCAAAAAAATTTCGGGTCGAAACCGGGTCACCCAACCCGATTCACTAAAACTTGTCCAAATTTACCTATTTTGCATGGAGAAAGTAAAGAGAAATATGTATTGCCCATTTTACATGATAATAATAATATAAGTGGAGATATAGATATTGACATTGATCTTGGAATTTTGTGATTAATTTTGATTATGTAATACCGTAATTTAAAGTCAATAATGCCACAAAATTCTTAAATAAAAATAGGAAATAAAATAAATTTTAAAAAAATTTAGATAATTTAATAAATTTTTTTGAAAAAGACGTATCTTACGATACGATACGATACGCGATACACGATTCAAAAAATTAGGTTTTCGATACACGATACGATACACGATTTGATAACCATGAGTGAAACAACCTCCCATCCCCAGTAGCCAACTGTTACACTCCCACCCACACAATATCACCACCATAGAACACAACAAAAAAACCCTTTCTTCAAACACTTTATGTGCAATCAGGAAAAGGTTGAAGGTGAGAGTTTTGGGGAGCGCTCGCGATCGGAAATCAACAACACAACCTCAAAGCACCTCAAAAAACCTTCCTCAATCGTCCTCCAATCGAAAGAAACAAAAAATTCGAACAAATCGAACCCAATTCATCTTTCACACTCAAAAAACCCTATGATGGGGAAGCTTTAATCACCAGCGAACGATGAGCGAACAGGAATGGGATTGTCAAGGCTTTTGGAGAGGAAGGGTCAGTGGGTTGATTGATGGTGACAACATCAATTTCCAGCGAAACAATCACCGGAAAAGCAAACAGCACGCAAAAAACCAATTGAGAAAGTGGCCAGTGAACAGTGTTCAAGCAGGGGTCGGACGACAATGGGTTTAATGAGGGGAGTGAGGTGAGTATTTTGGTGGTGGTGAGGGAGATTGCAACGCCGGAAAAGGCCGAATTGGAGAGTGGTGAGTTGAGAGAAATAGGAGATTGTGGCTATGAGAGAAATTTGAGATATGGAGGGCTATTTCAAAATTTTAATTCTCAGTTTAGATTTAATGTAGTGTAGAATGACTATTTTACCCTTTGACCATTATATTACCAGTTTTTTTGTTACTTTAAGAGGTGAAAATCTAAAATAAATGAAATCAGGGTGGAAGCTTGCCATTTGGGTAATCTTTGGGTGGGAAAATGTCGTTTACTCTTATTTTAATCTTTGCCAATTGGGAACCCTAACTATTTTGTTTCTGCTCGCCGCCTCTAATTTTTATTATATTAATTGGGTCAGAGCGAAACTTATTTAAACTTGTCAAGTGGGAAAAGATTCGATTTTCTTGTACATGTAACATGCATCCGATTATTAATTAAGTCGTCGCTTTGATAGTACGAATATCATAAGCAAATTTTTAAAACATGGAATCGACGAATAAAACTAATTAATTAACAACATACAATAATGGAGATAAAATTAAAATTGGATTTGAAATTTAAAAGTAAAAATAAAAACCTTTTAAAAGTCCCGATAAAGATATTTTACAAAACCCTACCATTGATTCTATTACAAGACTGAAGTCAGGTTAATTTCCAATATTTTATTTTTAATTAATCCCATTAATTATAATAAAAACAATTGGTAAACAAATTTAAAAGAGAAATAATATTAATTTCCCCAAGTAATGTTTGAGCATGCTACAAGTTAAGCTTTTTTTATTTTTATTTTTTTGGTGGGGATGTTCTCACTTTAAGATTGATAAAACAAGCGTGCAATTTGATAGAATTAAGCAAAAGAATATTAGATATAATAGGTGTTACTTTTGTTTAAATTTTCCAATTATATAATAGCGTAAAAGATGAAGAAGAAAAAATGCTGAGTTTACCGCAGTGGAGCGTTTACAACGTTGAAAGTTGAACAACTTGATCCTGATTACTGAAGTGAATGCGTACATGTTCATTGTTAAAAGTACCCCTATTAGATCATCTATATTACAGCAGTACCCACTCTTAGTCTCTTAGTACTTGAACTAGGCACTCTAAAATGGACCAAAAAAACCCCTCGTTTTCCTCCTATTTTTAAAACCCGCTACTCAAGACGAAATAAAATAATAACAATTTCTCTTTTTTTAATGTAAGAGGAAATATCTCAGATTCGTTAATTTCGTGAACAGTTGACCAACACCCAAGAGATTTGTCTCTTCGGAGAGATCCGATAAAATTGGATGTAACCAACAAATTTCACAAGATGGACTCCTAAAGTAATTCAGACTCTTCTCAAGGCTATTTTTGACAATTCAATCACCATCTCCCTCAGGACTCGGCTAAGAAAACGAGCATTATAAATATAAATTCAAGGAATCGATCTCAAGTGCACTAGAGTAGTGAAAGAAAGAAAAACTTGAAAGCTCTTCACATGGAGAGCTTGACGGAGGAGCTCTTTCCCTACAGAATCTTAGGCGAAGAAAGCGGAAGCAATTCTGGTTCTAATGAGAGTGGCAATCCAACCGACGCTGTCATTTTTGTCGCTATAAGTTTGGTGCTTGGAATTGCTTCCCGGCATTTATTGCGTGGAACCAGAGTTCCTTACACCGTCGCTCTTCTCGTAATCGGAATTGCTCTCGGCTCTCTAGGTTAAATTTTTTCTTCTTCAATTCGTTTTGTGTTTTCAAATTTTCTTTCTATTTAAAATTCAACGATCTTTTTTTTGGGTTTGTTTCAGAGTATGGAACAAGTCATAGACTGGGGAAGATTGGCGATGGAATTCGTCTTTGTAAGTTGTTCAATTAGTTTTATTCATAATGAGTTGAAAGTTGTTTGTAGTTTATTCTTTAGTGGAGTTGGTTTTGTTGTTAACGTGCAGGGTCAACTATTGATCCTGACCTTCTATTGGCTGTTTTTCTTCCTGCTCTTCTTTTTGAGAGTTCATTCGCCATGGAGTTGCACCAAATAAAGGTTTGTTTTATCTAGTTACTTTGGTTTCTATATGATTATAGCATGAGTATGATTTTGAGGAACTTATTTTATCTTTATCGCTTTAGGTATGTACTTGATTAAAATCTGAAATTCTTTATTAATTACAGACTTTCTTTTTAGCTTAAGGACACTGATATGTTGTCTTGAGGCTTTTGAAAACAATGAAATAGTTGGCTTTTTAGACCACCCCAAAATAGGCCTAACCAAATAAGAATCCAGAGTTTTGACAAGGAAAGAATTTCTAAGCAGGATATACAGATACAAAAGAATTGAACTTCTATGAATTAGTGAGTTTGATAGGGGTGGGTGCAATCACTTCTATCCTTCGACAAGTAAACTGAGCTCTAGCTTGATATTTTAGTTGCATGATCACGGACTTGCCAAAGACACAAGAACGAGAAACATGAGCTCCATGAATGATAGAAAATGTGTAGACAAGATCTACTTGATGTAGAGCTAGAAATCAATAATGTATGGATTATAAAATTATGATAAATGATCATTTGTAGGTAACTAAGTAGTTCAGAATGTGTTTTGTAGATAACTAAGTGTTTTAGAATGTTCTTCGACCCCTTCTCAATATTTATATACTTTGAGCTATGGACAATTAACTTTCCACTATTTTTATAAATAAGGGTTGGAACTATTCTGATTAGAACACTTGTTGGCAACACTTTGTGATCATATAAACCAAAAACGCCCAAGCAATTATACGTTTAAACTTCTGAGATTAGTTGTACTTCAACATTATTGGAGCCTATTTGGCCAAGATATTTGTCCAAATCATAAAACTTTTTCCATTTTTTTACTTAAATCACAACTGTGTGCTTGTGCTTTGGAACCACATATGCATGTTTGGGTTATGACGTACATGATAAACCCATTGAACCTTGGCCAAACATGCGAGCTGCATGTTAGACTTTAACTATTATTCTTGGACCCTTTTCCATCAGGCTTTAACCATTTGGATATTTTAAATTTTATGAAATATCTGTAATTTGTTTTCTGTAAGGGCCTTTTTTAATTTCCTTTCTTTTTTTTGACTTATTGCGTACTGGTTTCTGGTGGAGCAAGATTACCATTATGCAAGTCATTAGTTAAATGATTTGAAGTTTCTGGACTCGACAAGAATCAACAGCCTTATTATTTATTTATTTGTTTTTTTTCTCTCTGTACAGAGGTGTATGGCACAAATGCTTCTTCTAGCAGGTCCAGGAGTTCTGATCTCAACCTTTCTTCTTGGATCTGCTTTGAAGGTATCCTGCATCCCACAAAGTAGATTCTTCTTCTTCCCTATTCTAGTATTTTTAGTTTAAATATATAATACATAAAAATTACCATACTGCAGTTCACTTTTCCATATAACTGGAGCTGGAAAACATCATTGTTGCTTGGGGGACTTTTGAGTGCTACCGATCCTGTGGCTGTTGTTGCTCTACTGAAAGAGCTTGGTGCTAGCAAAAAACTGAGTACAATAATTGAAGGAGAATCCTTGATGAATGATGGGTATTTTTTATTGTTGAGCTGTTGATAGGTTTCGATAGTTGACTTGATGCCTCTTAATGTTAAATCAGCATCTTGCTTTAATACCTTAATGTAGTATTGATGTACTGAACATTTACTATAATGACTTCTTCTCTATATTTAATGTTCTTTGAAATACACTTCCTTTCCATTGTCCAGGACAGCGATTGTGGTTTATCAACTATTCTATCAAATGGTCCTTGGAAAGAGCTTTACTTGGGATGCCATAGTCAAATTTCTGGCTCAGGTCTCACTTGGAGCGTATGTATCTGTGACTTTCTTTGAGCATTTGTGACAGTCTTTACTTTTGTCATGAAACTTGTTTCTTGTTCCAGTGTAGCCATGGGTCTTGCTTTCGGGTTTGTATCTGTTTTGTGGCTTGGATTTATCTTCAATGACACAGTGATAGAGATTACATTGACACTTGCTGTGAGCTACATTGCTTACTTCACTGTAAGTTCCTTCCCAAATTTAGGATGCTAAATCAATGGTTTTTATTGTCTTATAGTCAATATGTCAATTATCACATTTGTGGAAGTTGTTAAGAAACTTATTTGTTTCCCTTAATAAAATTTAGAAACTCTTTTGAGTTTGAGCTTCTTTCCAATAGGGTTCAACCTAGAAAATTTTCCTGGAAGAAAGCCAATGCCGGCTTGTGTCTCAGACTTTAAAATATTGAGTTTAAGGCATATATGATTGGCAGTGTGCAGTAAGAACTTTTCACTAGGATTTAATGTTTATGCTTCATAGAACGTGTAATATTTTCTCAATCTAGATGTATGCCTTGCTTTTTTCCTTAGCAGTTTATTCCTGAAGGTATCAGCAAAAGAAATTAAATTTATATGTATTTATTTGTATCCAGTAAAAATGAAGTCAATACTCCAAGAGCATTCTCTGATTTTCTTGTCTAGAACGATTCATGAAAAGTCAATACTAAACAAACTTTCTCTGCTATGCATGAGAAGCCTGACTAGCCTTTTTCATATGGTAGGCTCAGGAAGGTGCTGAAATTTCTGGTGTGCTGACAGTAATGACTCTAGGAATGTAAGTAGAATTCATATTAGTATTTCCTATGCAACATTAGGCTAGGATATCTCTTGATATTATCTATGAACAGGTTTTATGCTGCATTTGCCAGGACAGCTTTCAAGGGTGAAAGTCAACAAAGCTTGCATTACTTTTGGTATGCCAAGCTCCTTTTTGTGTTAATTCAAGTAACATTTTTGGTTAATGACTTCAAAGATGAAAAGTAATCAAACTAATCATAGGAAAATCCATAATCAACGGAAATACTAGACCTTTTAGCAGAGGGTCAGAAGCTGGTGGACTCAATTTATATAAAAATGTCTGCTGTTGATCTTGAGATTTGCTTGCTTCGTTGTGTGTGTTAATGAGGAATGAAAGGTGGAGAATTCTTTAGAATAATGAACACTTTTAAAATTCAGAAAAGTCTATCCTTTGCATTAATAGAAATGATGCAGGGAGTGAGAAAGTAGAAATAAATAATTAATACTGAAACTAACTTTTGGCAGAACCTGTGACATTGGACTTCTTGGTCGTGTGTGACCAAATAACATGATCAAGTTTAGGACTTCTTTTATTTTGTTATTTCTTTTATATCAAGAAACTTCTTTTTCTTGTTTAGTTGGTTTGCCATTCAAATAGTAGTCCTATTACAATAAGTCGTAAGCTATATGCTTAGTAGTCCTACCAGCCTTTTATAAGTGTTTTCTGTTATTTCAGATAGTGAATTTATGGAGACTCAAATTTGAGTCCTATAAATCTGGCTATATTCTTGAAAATCTTTTGAACCAACAAGGATGTGATTTGATTCTTCATTTTCTTGTGTTTTTGATTCCATGTAATGAATACATTATCTTTAACTTTTATCTTTGTTTTGTTTTATTTTTCACATTTGATTATTATATATTTTTCTGTTATAATTAATTTCTTAAAAATTTGTAATCATGCAGTGGCTAAATTATCTTTAAATTATATTTCTTTGTTTTGTTATGTTTTCATATTTTATTGTTTCAAATTGTTTTTAACATTTAAAATATAAAAATATATTATAATTAACAAGAACATATGTGTCAAAATGCTAGTTTAAAGATGTTTACCTTCTACAAAAATTAATAACTTAACAATTAAACGAATGTAAAAGAAAAAGAACAAACATATTGTTCAGACCTATGCTTACTGATCTGTTGATCTTTCATTCTAATTCAGAGCTATTCATGTTTCAGATAAAAGAACAAATAGCCACCTATCCTTGGAAATTCATCTAACATTAGAATATATGGTAAATTAATTTAAAAAGCATAATATTTTTTTATATATGAAAACTAGAGATAACATCAGTATGCACAAACTTTTTAGTAAAGGACGCTTGATATCATGTGAAAGCGAGTGTTATATCAAATTACTTCATATAATAAGAGGTGTAATATAAGGTGAAAATGAATGTGTTTTATGGAAGTATTTTGTGATGAGGAGCAGAGTTGCTGCCATGATGGATAAACCTTAATCTCTTGTTGATGGGACTCCTTTGTCTTTTTGAAAAGTAGAAGGCAGAAGAAGAGAGAATAGTAACAAAAGAAAAATAAGTTGTTGGCTGTTTTTGAGAACATTTTCTGCTAATTTTGCTGGAGCCAAACAAAAGACAGGAAGAAGAAAATTTTGGATTGAAACCTTGAGGTTTAGCCCTATGGTAGGTTTGAAGAGTAAATGTAAGGCTGTTAAAAGAATTAATTTATCTCACTATGAAAAAAGAAAATAAAATTAGCGGGGTTTTACATGAGTTGCTACTCTTGTATTGTAAAAAGATCCATTAAGGACATAAATTTCTTAAAAGCATTACCATCACATAATTGTTAAATGTGTTCCCAGAGTAAAGTTGGAAATACCAGCCTTGAATGCCATGGTCATCAGGTTATATGCGCGAGGCATTTAGTTATAAATTTTGCATGTCAATATGTGGAACTGTGTAGTGTGCTGATTTGATTCTTTTCAGGGAAATGGTTGCTTATATTGCCAATACGCTAATTTTCACCTTGAGGTAAGAGAATAGAATTTTTAAATATTTTTCCTTTTTTGTTGTCAAGTAAAGGTAGAATTCTTATACTGTTTAATCTTTGTATTGATAAGCAAGTCAAAATGAGCTACACGTTTCATTCATGCTTCAACACACATGTAATATATATCTGTCTCATGCCATTCTTACATTGAGCATCAGCTGCATCTTTGTAATAAGGCTTGAAATTATTACTAGAAAACTAGTATATGAAGCCACATTCTCTGAATTTTCTCTTTTTCCTTATGATGATAATTGTTACTGAAACCATGGAAGGTTTTCTGAATTTTTATTTTCTAAATAAAATGCATAGGATACACTACAGAGTACAGAATTTATAGAGAACAATCCTCAACAACTTGATAACAATCAGCTAGGACTAATCCTAATTTAAATTCAGAAAAGCAACTAGATAACAACTAAGTTTAAAATTCAAACTGCTAGTCTAGGAAATCCGGTAGTTACATATTTGACGTTTTGTGCTTTTATCATTTGTATTATATGTCTTTTTTCCAGCCTTTAGATCAATATGCTTCACATACTGTTAGATACTATTTTGTTCACTTTTTATGAGAGTTTAATTAAATAAACTAACCTGAAAACTCCTTTGGGTCTGGGTTCCAACTTCCCTTGTGGCCATCTGCTTAGGATAATATATCCTACAAGTTCCCTGATTATCAAGATTGTGGGGTTTAGAAGTGACCCCCAGTTTAGATTTCAATGACTACATATGAAAGGTCATTGGATTTTCAGTATCTTAAAAAAGAAAAAGTAACTGTAAAAGCATCAACTAACTTATACAATACTTGTGGTACAGTCATTAAGCCTCAGATGACCGTTAATTTCTTACCAAACTAGCCACCCTAATAGATTATACGGGTTTCTTAATTTCTTTCTATCAGATTGATAAGGGTCCAATGATGGTGAGGCCTGCAAGTTCTTGAAGGCAGCTTTGTTTAGTGATGGCAAAATTCCTCATGGGCCACTTTTTCTGGGCTGGGGACGAGGATTGGGGTCATTGGCCCAACCCGGCCTGAAATCCCTGAAATATATTAAAAAAAATAGTAAACCAATGACAATAAAAAAATTAAGGGAATACAAAATTACTAGCAACAAAATAAACAGAAAACTAAATCAGTAAAAATATTTATTCCATTGGCCTCCTCATAAACTAAATAATTAAGTTTAAAATATAGTATAGCCAAGTTTTAACATTTTAATTAATGTAGCAATTTTTAGGATTAATATATAAATAATTATAATAATTTAAATAAAAATTGAATTATTTGATGTGATAAAATTGAAATAATTTTCTTTTTATATATCATATTACTCGAAACGAAAAAGAATTGAAAGGTCCTAAAGTTTGATAAATGAAAAATAAATTTATAGCAGGCTAAAAGCATTTGTTCCTCCACATTAACACAAAAGTTCTATAAAACTCTAAAATAGTAAAATCACCATGATATTAACAAAGAAACCAAGCAATCACTCAGACCAATGTGTCTGAGTGGTGTTGGTTGGTTTCTTTGTTGCACAAAAACCAATGATATTGACACATAAAATACACCTAAATAGCTGATTAATCAATCAATGATATTATAATGTTGTCCATCCATTAATTGGTCTTTTTATTTTTTGTTTGGGGCAGTGTTTATTCTAGAATCACAGTGAAGGTTAGATGAATAAGAGAGGAAGGAGATAAACAGTGGTTTTGGAATTAAATTTTATTTAATAAATTTTAATTAAAATGGGGTTCAAATAACACTGCTCTAAATAAAATACATCAAGACAATAACCCAAATTGAAATAACTGAATAACTATTCAGACCCATTAACCCAAGATAATTTAGAAAAAAGAAATAGTAAACAATCAGGGAAAATTAGGCCAGGATGGGGATCGAATTAAATTTCCAGGAATCCCTGGTCCGTTTCCAGGAATCCCTGTTCGATCCCCGCTTATTATAAGCAGGGATCAGGCTGGGGACAGGGGTGTTTTTTTTATTCAGGGATGGCCCAGCCTGCTTTGACCCGTTGCGATCCCTAGCTTTGTTACAGTAGAAAAATACACCATTCCTTGCGCTCCATTAACCCCAGGTGGCAGAAGGAAGCTTTCTTTCTCCTCATAATATTTGATAGGGACCAGCATCTGCC